AACACGACCCCGCGGCTGTCGCACTCGAAGCCGCACTCTCCCGGGCCTCCGTCTTCTCACAACACCGCCCCCGCTGCGACACGCTGCCTCGAACATCGCTCTCCACATCCTCAGAGCGCGACGCCACCCACTTTCTATCTCACCCCAAATTTTCTTTCACTATTCGAATGATAACGGAATGAAATAGATTGCATTCTTAGTTATTCGGGATGAGCCGAGTCTCGGTCAATGTTACTGACGTTTCGGCCATCTTGCTGTGGCCTTTTTCAGAGCTATACTGCATGAACAAGGCCACAGCAAGATGGCCGAAACGTCAGGAACATTGACAGACACGCGGCTCATCCCTGATAGCCAAGAATGCATTGACTCCGGCTGCGGAAGCCTACGAACCCATATGGAATAGATTACCTGCAAAAACCCTTTGAACCCATTTCTCGTAGCCTTCAGCAGTTCAGGAAATTAATTCGGGGTATTACGAAGTAAATGAGGGACTTAACTGAGAATAGTAGGTTATAGAGCGATGAGTAAGTACTATATTGTGAAGTGAGGTGTCGTGCAGTGTAGAACAGAGAAATAATGAAGGAAGTGATTAAAGCGTCATAGGGAAGTGAAGTGAAGTGAGGTGAAGTGCAGTGAAGTCTTAATTGATCAAAAGTTCAGTGCGGGGTTAGTTTAAAGATGTTTCTTTTTTAAGGTAATTTAATGTTTTATGAATTAGACAGTTTTATATCATTACTATTTTTAATATTAATGTTATTTTATGATTACTGTTATTGTTGTTTTATCGGTTGTTTTTATTGTTACTATGATTATTATTGTACCATTACTATTATTATTATTATTATTATTATTATTATTATTATTATATAATTTGCATGTTATCTGTATTATCTTATTTATGCAATTACTGCCACTGGGTTATGCTCATTTGCAGTTCAAATAAATTTATCTATATCTTATTTATCAAACACACCGAGCGCAACGGCAACCCCACGGTGCATGACAATCGGCGTGGCAACAGACAGGATAAAACTGAAATGTTTAAGGCTAATTATCCTAATTATTCTTGCATACGGCGCTGCGGACAACTTGCGTCTTTTGAGGAGAAGATGGAGAGCAATGCGATCTGTTGATACGTCGTTTCCTTTTATAACATGATGTGTACTGGACTGAACGGTATAAACTTGAGATGCGTTATATCGGAATGGCAAAATAAATATAAAAAGGTTTGGAAAATGAGTTGAAAGCAGTAGCGATGCACAGCTCCCAGCTAATCGTAAAATACTTTTACGTGTTTGTCATATAACATTTTCCTTTTAATGTAATTTCATATTAGAAATATTCCAGCAATGTCGATGTATGAAATCATTTTGAAACCAAAGACGTGCTCTCCTTTCTGGCGTCTATGTAGTTGTAGGCCAGGCAGCACACCGATTTGTGACGTCATTCTTCTGGACGTTCAACGTTTTGAAGCCCAAGTTATACGACTCGCCGCGCGTCCCTAAGCGTCAACGCTGTCATCATTTGGTCATTCCCCGTGCGTTTTAGTACCGCAAATATGATACAGAAAGCGTCACAGGTTTTCATGGCGGACCGATGGGAACCCCAACTTCGAATCGCGTGTAATAAACGTTTCAGATGCGGTTCTGCGGAGGGAATTAAGAAAGGGAATTATGGGAGGAAAATATCAAGAGGCAAACAGAGTCAGATTAACATCTAGTTAAGTAGTAAACAAGTAAATCTGCCACATTAAAATTAGATTATAAATAAAATCTTGTATGAACAAGATTACGGCATTAAGTGGTTCTAATGATCGTGGGCGACCAGAAGACATCCGGATTTTTATCATCACTCATTCGTTAGAACCTTTATAACGCTCATAGTGAATAAATAACTAGTGTTTCATTAACAATACCAATGCCATGTCAGTGACGTTTAAAACAAAAAGTCGAGTGTTTGTAGGAAAGGGAAGTCAGAATCATGAGTACAGGAAGTGAGCATACGCGACATGGATTCTACGCACAAATTTACGTAAGTAATGTTTCAATGCAGACTTTTATTGAATTAGTTTTAATGAGTTCACTTGAGTTGCTTACGTTTCCGGGTCCGAGAATATTATTGTTCTAAATTTTGGGAATTGAATTCTCGTCATTCGATGAAATTGCAACCCCTTTTAGGGAGACACCTGCCCCTACTGGTCAGAACGTTGGATAGTCGTAGTGATTCGTGTAAATCTTATCACGTAACTTTGTTTTCCACTCTCAAGAGCAAAGACAAAAAAGAGAAATAAGTAAAGTTGCACCACAGCAAAAAAGAGAAAACTAAACAACAAAGTTTATATTTGTAGAAAACAACACAGCCTTGAGCAGATTATTGTTATGAGAAATGCAGTACAACGATATACAAAAGCATATTCTTACCCTGCCAGAAAGAAATTTGTTAAAAATTTAAAACAATCAATATTGTGAAATCTTACAATCGACGAAGTATGCATTTCTTATGTAATATCAATTAGAAACAAAAACATTTAAAGTTTCCCAAGAGTTAACATGTATATATGAAAGTTAAGATTACATGAAAATGATATTTATTGTAAATATTGATTTTTGAGAGTATCTTAGAGTAATTTCTATTAAAAAATATGTCAATAAACATTTTAATACTACATTATTACAAAGTTTTCAGAATTTACGTGTAAAAAGTAAGTAAATATTATATGCACGCGACGCCTTTATCAACACCGAAGTCATGTCCGGTGCACCGCGAAACTAGACCGCGCGACTAGAGCAAAGCTAGCCTGAAATTGTTTTTTTCAAATTCCGAGGAAAAGGAGCATATCGTCACACCTATTCTCTTCCACCGCGGCCTTCCTCTCAAGTTTTCTCCGCAGTCACACCCAACACCACACCCTACTCCTAACTCTACACCACCTCTTCATTGAATTGAATTGAATTTGCCTTATTTTCGTGGCGGACTCGGGCTATCAGGCCCGCTCTTCGTCTCCGACCACGCAAATTTCGCTACGCTCCTTTCACCAACTAGGAGAGAAAGGAGGTATTTCTTGGCGAGAAACAGGCGATTTAGATTTCGCTCAGAGGCGTCATTTAGGCTGTAATGCAAGTAAATCTAACGAACATGGGACAGCCGGCTTTACTTCCCTCCGAAGGAAGGCGTACGAAGGATTTTATCGCCCTTAAAAATCACGGCTTCGATCGGGTTTTGAAGCCCAACTTGTGTACAACAGTCCGCTACGCTAACCGTTCACCATCGCCGCGCCTTAAGCTGAGAGCACGGATGTGCACCCCCTCCGGGCGGCCCTCACTCCTTACAGGACGTTCCGCGTCGCCCGGTCCCTTTCCGACCACCCACGGCAGCAGGCCTTTTGCAATGTGCGGGCCCGCTCGACGCTGCGGCACCTGCCGACAATCGTCAGCGCGCCGCCCGGCAGCACAGGACTCTGGGTTATTGATTAGCGATACAACTGCTAAGTCATTGGCCCAAAAGTGTAGTGCATGTCTATACCGCGGGAGGTGGGGGTGATCTCCACGGGAAGGCGTGATCCGGTGCTGACCTAAACGTCGGCCTGCGGTTTCCCCCCAACCAAGAATCTCCCACCAGCCGGCCACCACCCCAGTCGAGTTAAACTCTAAGCCTCAGGTCTAGTCTTCCGACATGTGTGATAGTGTAGTGCATGTTAGTATGTGTGTATAAGTAAGGCACGAGGATAGACAAGGAAGGGGAAGAAAAGATCGCGCGCGGCTATGGTCTGATTGTTAGGATACTGCTCCGGCATACGCCTTGTGTTGATCGGATAAAAACACGGATAACTACCGATCAGAGCAACTGGCCGCTAGAAATCTCTTCCAGTCAGCGGCTGAGTTCAACCTAGGTTTGTATCTAGTGACCAAAATCCAGCCACCATCCGAATTCTAGGCACCGGGGAGACTCTAGGCTCTTCAGATCAGAGGCACTGCAGTGATATCGATTGATGTGGCACCTAAGTTGGTGCCCAGTCTCTGGCGGTCTCACCCTCTTTCCGGCCCGCCCACGCACCTCCTAGTCACCGACGTTACACCATCGCCGCCGCTTCATTCGCCTCGCTTCGCCAGTCTCAGCCAACAACGTCGACACACGGTCCTGTAATTCGCCACCACTGCTATCCTTCCCACTCCCATCACCGCCGACGACACCGCCGCCTCCAACGACGTTGACGCCTACACCATCGCCACTCAGCGGAAGATCCCCCTGCGCCGCCGCCAATGCCACGCCCACCTCTGGCGCTCCGCAAAGGGATTCGCGGAGCCGGCTCGTCATCAAAATTCATCCCGAGGGGCGAGACACCTACGACGGCGCCGCTCACGGCGACAGAAAACAGTTTGCGAAATGCGCGGCTGGGCGCCAACGCGGTGCGCTTACGGGCAAAGAACATGGAGGGAGGAACAGCGTGCTCGAAACAAAAGAAAAGAAGGGTCGGTAGATGAGACTGCACGTTTAGAATATTCGTGTTCTTCCATTAACAATCCTAACTGCTCTGATCGGTAGTTTTCCGCGGTTTCTCCGGCCTTTACAAGGCAATGCCGCAGTAGTACACACCGTGCTAAGTACCGTGCGTGACTTCTCCTTTCTCATCCTTGTCCCCTCCTCTCCCCTTACGCACACATACACGTACGCACTAACTCTTGCATGCACTACACTACCAACATATCAAGGGTGATGTCTGGAGATTAGAGGTTGTCCCGCAAGGGTCGGCGCCCAGTGAGGGAGATACTGG